AGTTAAGCATCTGCTTTCGGCTCAGGTCATGATCTCCGGGTCCTGGGATTGAGCCCTGAGTTGGAGTCTGCTTCTCCTTCTCCCTCTGCCTCTTCCCCCTGCTCCTGCTCTGTCCCAAATGAATAAAATCTTTTTTTTTTAAAAAAAGTGTTTTTTAAAAAAACAAAAGAAAAACCCATATAGAAATTATATGAAATTTAAAATGTTTAAGGGAAAAACATACATAGGGAGAAAAGAAGGAAATTCATCACAACAAACACAGAGGTGCTAAAGAGGGATCACAAATGACTTTTTTCTATTTAAAAAATTTGTATTTTATATATGCTCACATGCTTTGATAAGATATATATTTTTTTAAAGATTTTTATTTATTTATTTTTGAGAGAAAGAGAGAGCAGGGGGAGGGGCAGAGGGGGGAGGGAGGGGGGGGAGAGAGAGAGAGAGAGAGAGAGAATCTCAAGTGGACTCTGTTAACTCAGAGCCCAACGCACGGGGCTCTATCTCATGACCCTGAGATCATGACCTGAGCCAAAATCAAGAGTCAGATGCTTAACCAACTGAGCCACCCAGGTGCCCCTGATAAGATATATTTTAAATAAAAGTAGTACAAGACATAGAAAAGAGAGGAAAATAATCATATTTTTTTGAAATAGTTCTTAGAAGAACAGGTTTTGACATCTTAACATTGTCTTAAAGACAAAATTTCTTGGGAAGCCTGGGTGGCTCAGTTGGTTAAGCATCTGCCTTTGGCTCAGGTAATGATCTCAGGGTCCTGGGATCGAGCCCCAGATGGGGGTCCCTGTTCAGCAGCGGGCCTGCTTCTCCCTCTCCCTCTGCCACACCCCCTGCTTGTGCTCTCTCACACTCTCGATCTCTCAAATAAATAAATATTTTAAAAATTAAAAAAAAAATTTTTAAAAGGACAAAATTTCTTAAAAGTGTTCAGTGAAAGTTATACTGTTTCTCACAATCATTTTATCAGAAAATTAGGGTCACTGTAACTGGAAAACTAATTTTTGCTCTATTAGTAGAAAATGCAGAAAGTACAAAATTGCTGCTTGGGGTTAAATGGTTATGAGTGTTTGCTACTGTGACACCCACTTACAGAGTGTGTACTTTGGAGAAAGGGATGAAAGCAGTCAAATGGCCTTGCCCTGAAAGAGCTAGCTGAAAGCTTAGTAAAGAGATGGATGGGTAAACACACAACTCCATATGACATAAAAACAGTACTACGACTGCTGTACACAGGTGCTGTGGGAATGCACAAGAGAGGCACCCGACCTTACCCAGGGGAAAGAGTGTCTGGACTGAGGCTTAAAGCCCAGCTCCAGTCAGCTCAGGAGAAGGCTAAGAAAGGGGACTTCTGGACACAGGGAGCTTGAACATTCCTGACTGCAAACATCCTGACCTGGTTCAGCAAGTGGCTTGGCTGCCCCTGGGGGTCCAGGAGCATCTTGCCTGAGTTGGGGTGACCTGAGCCAGCTTTGGCTGAGCCTATTCATCCTGATGGCCTAACCACAGAGCTCTTGGGATCTGGAGTCAATGGAGACCAAGTCCTGGTTCCTCTCTACTTCCTCCCCTTCAAGGTAAAACCCGGTCTCCATATGCAGCTTTTTTCTTATAAAACTTTCTCCATTTCTTACTGTTCTGGTGGTTTCACCTTTTCTTCCTAACTAAAAATGTAGTGCATATAATGAAGAGAATGATAATGTTTACACAGATACAGCTACCAACAATCCTATAGATCCTAAGGATTTTCAAGGTATCCCCCCTCTGCTCCTGTTCCCCTCCATTTTGTAGCCACTTCAAGTATTTGTTAGCCAAACTCCAGGGGAAGGTCCCACCCCCCAAACACCTCTTCATGGGAGCTCTGACTTTCAAACTCTTGCTCCTACATTTTGTCATTCACAGCAATCTTTAAAACTAAGAAGAAATCATCTTAGTTTCCTGCTCAACAACAGTGACTCAAGCTACACCAACCACTTGCAGCTCCCTGAACACACTAGACACACACATCCTGCTGCTGAGAGCACTCTTCTCCAGACCTGTGCATCACTAACTCCCTCGCCCCCTTCCAGTCTGTCCAGATGTCCCCATCTCAGCAAGAGGAAGGCTTACGCTGAGCACGCTATTTAAACTGTACCCTCACCACAATCCACCCTCTTCCCCACTCAATCCCCCTTACTTTTCTCTACCTTCTTCCCCCCGCCCCGGTACTGTCAGCTTCTAGTACATTATAAAAGTTACTTACTAAATTTTTCTGTCTCCTCCTTCTAGGATGTAAGCCCCACAGAAGCAGAGATCATTATAAATGTTGTTCACTAATGTATCCCAACCGCTTAGAAAAGTGTCTTAGCACATCACAGGGGTTCAATGGCTATCGGCTGAATGAATAGATGAATGAATGAATGGTTTACCAGGGCCACAAAGAAAGACGTCCAAACTCCCTTCTGTTCTCATCTACCCACTGCCTGCAGCCCACACCCACTGTCACACAGGACAACGGTTTCATGAACGTGCCCCTCATCTTCTTGCCTCCCAACATCCCTGACCCACAAAGTCCATCAGCTCTATCTCCACCCCCTTCATTTTCACTCGTTGGACTCTGCTCCTATTCAAAAGTGACATCACTGACTCTTTCCCGCGGGCAGAATTTCCTCTCCCCTCTCTGTAGGCACAGCAGCCTCTGGACCTCAGAAACAACACCTGATACCACTTCTCCTGTGCTATAGACTGCATGAGGCTTCCCCCACTCAGTAAACCTCCAGGATAAGCAGTCACATGACTCAATTACTCATCTCTTGCATTCCCTGAAGGGTCAAGCTCAGAGAAAAAGAAACTCCGACAAAGGGAAATTTCTGCCAAAAAAATCCCTCTGTGGATTCAGTTGTTCTGGGGTGCCTGGGTGGCTTGGATGGTTGGGCGTCTGCCTTCGGCTTGGGTCATGGTCCCAGGGTCCAGGGATCGAGCCCCGCATCGGGCTGCCTGCTCCGCGGGGAGCCTGCTTCTCCCTCTCCCACTCCCCCTGCTTGTGTTCCCTCTCTCACTGTGTCTCTCTCTGTCAAATAAGTAAATAAAATCTTAAAAAAAAAGATTCAGTTGTTCTGTCCTTCCTGCAGGGTCATTACCTGCAGCCTGGGTTAGGTAACCCAAGGGAACTGTCAGGCCATTCTGAGAGAATATAACTCAACTAGAGTACTTGGGCAACAAAGCTTTGAAAGTGTAGTTTAAAAGCGTCCCTAACATTCACTGCTCAGAACACAAATCCACTTTCACCCTCAAAGAGGCAACCCCTGGGGCGCCTGGGTGGCTCAGTTAAGCATCTGCCTTCGGCTCAGGTCATGATCCCAGGCTCCTCGGATTGGGCCCTGCTCAGCGGTGAGCCTGCTTCTCCCTCTCCCTCTTCCTGCCACTTCCCCTGCGTGTGCTCTGTTAAATAAATAAAGGAAATCTTTAAAAAAAAAAAAAAAAAAAGGCATCCCCTACGGAAAGGATCATCACCCCCATGAGGTGTTAACTGCATTAAGCGATCCTAATTCTCACAGCCTGCTGAGGAAGTGCTTTATATGGAACAGCACTGATGACCAGTGATTTGCTCTGGCTCATGTCAAACCAAACAACTATCTTGTTCTAGTATTGTTTTTTGTTTTACTCCTTAAGGCTCACCCTTATAAAACAAAAACATACAAAAAGAAGTAAAAGATATAAAGGCATTATATGTTTAATTTACTATAAAATGTTTTATTTTTTTAAGGTTTATTTTTTTAAGGATTTTATTTATTAGAGAGAGAGAGCGAGAGAGGGAACAGGGAGAGAGCAGGGGGAGTGAGAGAGGGAGAAGCAGGCTTCCCGCTGAGCAGGGAGCCTGATGCGGGGCTCGATCCCAAGACCCTGGGATCACGATCTGAGCCCAAGGCAGATGCTTAACAACTGAGCCACCCAGGCGCCCCAAGATTTATTTATTTCAGAGAGAGAGAGAGAGGGAGCATTCGTGCATGCAAACGGGAATGGGGGGAGGGGCGGAGGGAAAGTAAGAGAATCTCAAGCAGTCTCCCCACTGAGCACGGAGCCCGACCTCATGACCCTGAGATTTTACTTTTAAGTAATCTCTATACCCAATGTGGGGCTCAAACTCACAACACCGAGTTCAAGAGTCACATGCTCAACCAACTGTGCCAGGCAGTGCCCCTGGATTGATTTTGATAGTCTCACACACTTAACAACTAGAGTCTGTGATTTTTCCTTAATTCTAAAGAGAGTGTGGATTAAAATACCATCTGAACCTCGTTATAGTTTCACAGATATACGCTATGTAAATCAATGCATAACCTGAGTTTTGATACTTCTAGAAAATGCCTCTTCTCTCACAAGAATAAATGACTTAAAAAATCAGCTTCATATTAATGAAGTTGAAGGCTGGACATCTGGGGGTGTACACTATTATACCTTTGTTAAGGCAAAAAAGAACACGAAAAGCTATGGGACAGGTCCTTCCTGTTTTGTACGTTGTTTTTTCTGTTTTTGTTTTTGTTTTCCTCCTGGCCCAAGAAAGCCCATCTCCAGCCTCTTCCAAGGCAAATCCTGACCAAGCTTCTTCGGCTCCTACGGTCTCTTTATGGCCCCTGGGTCAGAGGCTGGGGCTGCTCTCTCTTTCCCTAACAGTTACTTCCTCCTCTATATAGTTTTCTATCCTATTACCCTACCCTCTCCATTCCGTGTCAGAGTTCAAGGAATTGGCCTGGCACTCAGGATTCTCAACAGTGACACTTCCCGACACATTCACTCTTAACTCTTCCCGCAGAACCTCACCGCCCTGGTCCCCTCCTCCCCACAGTGCGGCCCCCTTTTTGGGACGCCCACTCCCCCCAGCTCTGGACATCTTGGGTTTCGCACGCTGGGAGGCTCTGAGGGGAGGACCAAGCTAGGAAAGGCCGTCGCACAGGCGGAGAACAATGACTGCTCTAAACACGCCCCGGGGTAGTGAGGAACCCGCTGCTCACCTGAGGCGCGGCCGTCGGAGGCCTCGGGGCCATTCCTGCCTCGCCGGGGCCGGCTCCCAGACTGGGGCTGGGGAGAGAGGACAGGGCCCACTCACCCGGCTGCAACCGCCGACACCTCCCCGCCGTGCCAGGCCCGCCTCCGCCCCTCAGCCACTTCTCCAGGAGACGGTTAGGGAGCTGCGCGGACCGCGCCTAGGCCTGCCGTTCCCCCCGGCCCTAAATTAAAGGCTCTAGGCATCCTGGACACCGTCCTCTGACCACGCCCAGTCCCACCCGCAGGATGGTGGGCGCGGCCGGGCGGATACAAGCCAAACCCGTGGGAGGTGCCGCCTCGACCCGCGCACTCGGAATTACCGCCTCCTGAGGACTCGGATTTCGGGACCTCGGGCCCACTCCGCGCTCGCGTCCAGCTCCTCCTGCACCCGCTGCAGGTTCAGTCCTCTCCAATTCTGATGTGCGGAGGGGCGGCCCAAAGCGGCCTTAGCCGCACTGGGGCTGGACAATGGCCGCAGCGGCGGGGGAGGGGGCAGAGCCGGAAGTGCGCCTGCGCACGCGGAGCCTCGGTCCCGCAGCTCCCGGGCGGTGGCTGACTACACTTCCCAGAGGCCCGCGCGTGTGGGTCCCGTAGAGGCAGCCTGGGAGGTCGCTGCGCCACCCTGGGGAGCAGCGGTGGGGTCCGCGGTGTGGCTTGGATACTCGTGCGTCCATTTATTCCAATAATAGGCACTGAGCACCTCTCCTGTGCTAGGGGAGGAATTCAGCGGCAGATGGGAAAGGAAAGACCCTACTTTCGGGGAGCTGGTGTGCACTGCTGTGGACGAGGCCAACAATAAAAACGTAAACATATCAACAAGATATATTTCAGGTACTGACTTCAGCTACAGGAATGGCATAGTGAAGGGAGTGGGGCAGCGTCGCATCTTCATCACAAAATGTTATTTCCGTTGCCTCTCCTATGCCATGTTCACCCATGGGTCACTACCGAAGGTTTGGACACTGATTCCCCAGACCACGCCTACTACGACTAAGATGCTTGAGGCACTTATTACTCCAAGGGAATAAAAGAATCTTTTCCTGTTGTCCCAAAATTGGTAACCGGGACTCAGATGAGGATTTAAGTTCTTTCGCATTCCAAAGAAAGACAAAGCTTTTGGGGCTAGACACTCTCAGGCCTTACAAAAGGGTAGCCGCGTGCTGAATTTGCCCTGTTGCTATTAACCGTTGCCTCGACACCACCTCTCTTTCTCAGGTTCTATAAGGAAACTAGAATGGGAAAGAAAAGAATTCCTCAGAATGGCAAGCCCTCCGCCTAGGGAGGAATTGCAGTGTTCCACCCCCACTCCCAAAAATGAATGTGAGAAAGAAAACCTCTCAAACATTGAGAACAGCCAGGAAAAGGGGAGGTTATATAAATTACCCCCAATGCCTTCCAGAGAAAGGGAAAGGGAATTAGAGAACAGGCTGTATGTAAGGAGAGCAGCCTGAATTCTCATTGTGTAGTAGGTGGATACGCTAGAAAACAATTGAGCTTAGCTCCCGGTGGGTGAAGGGTGCAGCTCACAACATTACAAGGCTGTGGAACTAACTGGGCGTGAGAAGGAGCTGAGGAAGTTGGAAGAGGTTGAAGTGAAGCCAGATCTCCCAAGTCAGGTATTGGTGGGTTTCCTCTAAGGAACTCACAAATGCACTTACGTTTCTGCCGGGGTGGCTAAGCAACTTTAATGCTGGATGGAATCGTTTTAAAACCTTTGAAAATGCACTGATGCACTGGAAAATTGGTAAGGAACACACAGAGGGCAAAAACAAAGCAAAAATGACAACTTAAGAGTGGTAGGTAGATTTTACCTGGAAGACTTTTGCCAAATGAGGCAAAGTTGAGTTTTCTTTTCATTGTCCCCTTCTTTCCGTTCAGGGACCGCGTTCTGGGCGGGAGGGCCAAGGGCACCGAGAGGGGAGCGGCAGTCTCCTCTCAGAAGTGCCCGTCCTACCTGGCCGGCTCTGCCGCTGAAGGTCAGGTATCCTGGTCGGCCGATGTCGTCCGGCCACAGGGCCAAGAGAGGTGAGAGGCCGGTTTTTCCGAGGACAGCCTACACCTGGGGGTTGATGGCTACGCCGCGGGCGTGGGGCGTGGCGCTAACCACGTTCCCAGCCAATCAAGAGCTGGGAGCACAGTCTTCTCTGCGCCCTCCTGTCTCCATGACAACTACCTCGGCGTCTGCTCGGGACTTGGGAGTACTGCAGCTGAAAAGACCATCTCATAGGTCCAGCTGAGGTCCTGGCCCAGGGGGATCGGCGGGGACCACCAGGTGCCCGAGTTGTGCTCCAAAGCCTCTTCACACCCCGCGACACGGTGGGCAGGAGGCCGCCCCTCTGCTGGGGAGACGGATGATGCACTATTCAGCGGGATTTTGTCCCAGCTAGGGCAGAGGCGAAAAGACCTGTCGCTAATGCCAGATGCCTTACATTTATCTGCTCTATCCTTAATATCCACCTGGATTTGACCTTCAATTCTTCACTTGGCCCGCCGTTGGTCCAAGCCTTCTGGCTGGGGCCTTCCCCACAACACAGGAATATCCAAGTTCCAATCCCTTAAAACGTTCATAAAAATGTTCCACCCCCTGGTTTCCACGAGAATTCGTGAGAAAAAATGGGACCTGACGCAGGTAGCTCGCCCAGATCCGACTCTGTTCAGCCAGAGAACCAGAGATTACTGGACCAACAGGGAACTCGGGTCCCCTGACTGTCTTCCATGCACTCTTAAGCCGCGAGGACACGACTGAGGCGCTGAGTGGAGGCTGCGTAACTTCAGTCATCCACTGCTAGATCTGAGGCCGAGCTTCGAGTTGGACACGAGGGGAAGCGAGTTCTCAGCGCCAGGGTCCTCCCCTCACATCAGACCAACACCTGCTACAGTTTAGAGCTTCCAGGCGTCGGTCCGCGGAGCCCTGGGCTCTAGCGCCACCTGCTGGCCATTAGGACCCTCCTACTCCTGCGAAGTCCTCTGCATAACAATAACGAGAACCATTACTGACCCTGCCAACTACCCTCAAGTCAAGCTTGAAGCCTCTACAAGTCCCCCAGAAATTTCACCTAAAACCTATGTTTTCTGAGCTCCTGCTGCCCTGGATATCCTCACAAAAACTCCCTGGTGGTCTCCTGTTCCCCTGGACTGAACTGAAGGGCCCCATAGACTCCTTCTCCATCCCAGCTGTGGCGACTCAGGCTAGACCCAAGTGGTGTCACCTCAAGGGCAATGTAGTCCCTGCAAGGGTCACAAGGGCCAGGCATCAGAAGACCTCACTTTAGCTTCTGGCTCAGCCACCTTGCTCGGCCAGTCACTTTCCTCATGGGCTTGGAGTCATGAAAAATGTCTATTCCAGGAAGTTTTTTCCCCAGATACCTCTGTTATCAGACAAGGATGTTCAGTGACTGGGATGTGGTTAGCTGTGTGGGAAGACTGATCTTACCAGACACTCTGAGATGCAAATGGCATCTGAGGGCTTTTCCAGCCAAACACAGGGGACTCAGCTTAGAAACCAAGAAGTGGACAAAATGAGCCAAAGATAGGATATGGAAGGAGGGCTGAGAAAGAATGAGGGACTGGAAATTAAAATAAGATTATTCTCACATCATACTTTTTTGATTAACTGTGTCTCTGAGTTTTGTTTTGTTTTGTTTTTTTTTAAAGGTGGGGGTGAGGTAGGGGGAGGGGCAGAGGGGGAGGGAGAGAGAGAATCTTAAGCAGACTCCATGTCCCGGGTGGAGCCGGTTGCTGGGCTCAATCTCACGACCCTGAGATCATGACTTGAGCCGAAATCAAGCGTAGGACATTTAACCAACTGAGTCACCCAGGCGCCCCTCTGAGTTTTTTTTTTTAATTAAAGATTTTTATTTATTTATTTGGCACAGAGAGAGAGAAGACAGTGAGAGAGGGAACACAAGAGGGGGAGTGGGAGAGGGAGAAGGAGACTCCCTGCTGAGCAGGGAGCCCGATGTGGGGCTCCATCCCAGGACCCTGAGATCATGATCTGAGCCGAAGGCAGATGCTTAACGACTGAGCCACCCAGGCGCCCCTGAGTTTTTGTTTTTAAAATAAAATTGCAAGGTTAATTAACTTGCAATTATTCTCAAGGTAATTTTTGTTCGTGGTTAATGTTCTCTAACATTACAACCAGATACATGAATCCAAGGGACCTAGGCTAGGCTGCCTTTAGACTGAGCCTGCCAGGGGCCCAGTTACAGAGACATCTGACTGCCAAATGGACTGTAGCCCCAAGAGGATCTTACCCACTTGTATGCCCAGTAAATGTGTGCCCAGTTAACCTGGCTGAGTTTATGAAATGAAGGCTTTGCTTTATTATAAAGAGTAATGGGCTTTGAGATGAACTAGACCAGCTCCTTCCTTTTAAGGATGAAATAGAAGCCCAGAGAGGGAAAGACGCTAGTTGAAGAAAATGGTAGAGGAAGAAAAAAATGCATATGATAAGCTGAAGGAGATTCGTAAGTTCCATGTGGCATTGTGGTGTTTTTTTAACTCATCAGGTGAATGCTGAGGTTTAAAACAATTTAAATTTTAAAATGATAAACAACAGAACACATTCTAGATGAGGTCTTTGGTCATTTGCATCATTTTCCTCTTTTCCATTTTCTCTTCAATTCTATTTGCAGGACTGCAGTTGTGTGGTCACCAACAAGTGTCTTTCCCTCTGTGGGTTCTATTTCATCTGTAAAATGAAAGATTTGGTTTGGCGGGATCCAAAGCCCCATTTTATTTTTCTCCTACAACTGTTATGCCTGGCTCAAATCGCGCAGATATGACCTGAGCGGAGGTGAGAAAACATGGAAGTGAAAGTCAGCTAGGTCTTTCATCCCAGCCTCGCCTTTGACCCATCCACTAGCTTCCGGGATGCCACACCTTAGGCCTTTCTTGCACCCCCCTACGGTGGTCTAGGGGGTAACAGCGCTTCGGGCTCTGCGGTTACCATGGCGACCTGCGAGCTGCCTCCGTTGCCTCCGTTGCCGCCTAGCAACCAGGACATCCAGAGCACCTAGAGCTCTGTCATTTCCCTCTGGCAAGGAATTGGGGGCAGCTCTGTTTAGGGAGGTGGCTCCCTACAGGTCCCTTTACTGCTAGGCCCTGACCTGACCTCTTCAGCCATTCGAGCTTCTCTGCCCTGGGGCTAGGCTTCTATGGCTTTGTCTCCCAGACCCAGTAGTCCCAAGCCAGGGTCCCGGGGGCTTAAAAAGTGTTCTTACCCGGTACATTCCAGAGTCCCTCTAGAAGAGCAGAAAAGTCCAACATGATGTGAATTAAAGCACGCATCTCTCAGCCACACCTCCCAGCACCCCTCAGCTGCTGGGGCCAATTCTCTGGATGGACAATCCTTGGGATGGGATGGACGGGACAGCCTGGCTAGAATCCAGGGAGGCACCAGTGTTGGGGGAGGGGCATCACCAGAACTGGGCATCGCAGCCTCAGCTGGGAGATGGGCAGGCATATAGACTCGCTAACCCAATATGGGGGTGGAATCGGCAGTGACAGGGTTGGTGGCACAGGGTGTACTGGGAACATGCCTGGGGAAGGGGGACTCACCCCAACCTGAATCAGAA